AGGGCTGGGATCACAGGCATAAGGCACTGCGCCTGGCCTTTACTTAATTTCATAAACAGAAGCAAAGGGGACATACCATATATTGAGTGAAATTTTTTCCATGAGCATCATGGACTTCAATATTTTCTTTTTCTGATTCTTTCCTTGCTTAGCATTTGTACCATTATTAAGAATTTAGAGCCTTAATTTATACCACTTGCTAAACCATTTATTCCTCTCTCTTCATATGTGCTTTATTATCAAAAATCCTTTAGATTCCTACTGTAGATAGGTAATTTCATAATCCTATGAAAAATTATGAACAAATTAAGCACCTTAAGTTAAAACCAAAAATAATAATGCAAGAAATCATAAATATCTCTGTGTTTCTGTGAAACATTAAACTTTTATGTATAAAAATGCATTAAGCCCAGATTTATGGAAATATTTACCAATTAAAATATGCTCCATATTGAATTCTCAGTAATAATAAGTACACTAGCAAACCAGGGACTTCACTTTGTTCCTTTCTATATCATCCTCTCCACAAAGCTCCTTGGGTTTCTTCACAGACTAAAAATTGTTTTTTAAGAGCAAATAAAGAGGGCAAGAAGAAGTTTTCAGTGGTCTCAGTTGGAAAACTGATGCATTATTCCTACTGTATTTTACTGTTCATATCAGTTATAGAGCCAAAGCAGATATGGAAATAGGTAGGAGTCCCCTCTTGGTATTCTGTAATTGTATTTGTGACACATATTCTAAATGTACAAAGAAATGCTACTTTATAAAACATTCTTAAACAAAACTTCATATTTTCTAGTTTTCCAGAGAAATATTTAGACGATGAATATATCACTGGATCTTGAAGAGGATTGCCATTGGCTATGGAAATATATTTCTAAATATTCTTAAAAAGAAACAAGTTTGATTTCTATAATGACTTAATTTGTCATTCTCAGTAGGATTGTTGAAATATTGCACAAGCTAAAATTTTATGTTGTTTTTAATTTCAATTTATTAATATTTTATTTTCTGTGAGCATATTGTTTCCTCAGGTCAGATATTAACTCTGTCCAGATTTCTTGATAGTTGGAAACCCATAAAGATTTAATAGAAGGAGCCTGAGGGAAAGGATGCATTTAAATCAGGTGGTGTTATTTTAATATTCCAATAACTTTCATCTATGTGGCAGTAAAATTCAATTTCAAAAGTTTTAATGAAAGGAGCATATGATTTATTTTGTTGGATGTTCATGAATCCCTTAAGTCTTTGTTTCACAAAATAATCTGTCTAGTGTTGACTTTCTTATAGTGTGTTTCTGAAATACCAGTTTTAGAGAATGTTAATGGAAGCAAATGAAAAAATTTAAAACATTATGTTTTTTAAATTAGGGTTTTCTCAGCATTGAAAATCTTCTAATTTACATTCTAAATCTTCAAAATGTATGGTATACATTTACAATAAAAATATATTCAAGGTGTGTCACTGAGGATTGCTGACTCTAGTTACACTGTTAGGAAAGGAATGATTTCTATGGTAATTAAAGATATTTAATAAAGTCTTTAATTTTGGCAAATGTATTATAAAGACTGGAAGAGCAGGTTCTTGAATCACATCTAAGAATGACTTCCAGCATTAAAAAGAAGTCATGTTGCAGGAAAGTATAACTCAGAACACTATCAAAATACTGAGTTGAGTAATACATTGCAAGTGCTGGAACCATTGAATCAGTAAGATAGTTCCAAGAAGCTGCCATCTTTTCTATGGTCACTTACATAATTTAAAAACAAAGCCTAATTCTGAGCCCTGCCTCCTTCATGATGAGGTTTTGATGCCCACAGTGCTGAAGACTTTATGTTGGTGCATAATGACTTCTCTTTCTTTTTAGTTCAATTATAAATGTCTCTAATAGAACCCAATTCCAACACAAAGAAATAGCCACAACTACTACTAGCTATTTTTTTCTTATCTTCTTACATTTTGCATTTGATTTACTGTTCTTTTTCTAATGACTTGAGGTATATTTTAAATAATTGATTTTTATTGTTCTTATATTTAAAATACACATGTAAGGTAATAAATCCCTGACTCGATCTTATCTACATTCTCCAAGTTTTATGATATATCTTTATTAACATTTACTTCAAAATGCCTCTTAATTTTGATATGGCTTCTTAATTGATTTATGGATTCTTTAAAAGTGCATATCCTTATTTCAACATACATCAACTTGTGAGTGGTACTGTCTAATTTGTGAATTTACTGTGTTAAGATAGCATAATAATTATTTCAATCTTTTGTGGTCTAATGAGACTCGATTTGTAACACAGTGTTTTAGTCTGTTTTGTGCTGTCATAACAGAATACTTGAAACTGCACAATTTTTAATAAATAATAATTTGTTGGCTCATGGATATGGAGGCTGGGGAGTTCAAGATTGAGAAGGCAGCAACTGGCTAAAGCCTTCTTACTACATCATTCCATGGTAGAGGGCAAGAAATAGAAAGAGAGAAGGAATCAACTTATCCCTTTATAAAGAATCCACAATGACTGACCCACACAGGAAATTACATTAATTTTTTTTCTTGAAACAGACTCTTGCTCTGTTGCCCAGGCTGGAGTGGAGTGGTGCAATCTAGGCTCACTGCAACGTCTGCCTCCCGGTTTCAAGCAATTCTCCTGCCTCAGCCTCCTGAGTAGCTGAGACTACAGGCACACGACACCATTCCTGAGTAACTTTTTTTGTATTCGTAGTAGAGACAGGGTTTCACTGTGTTAGCAAGGATGATCTCAAACTCCCCACCTCATGATCCTCCTGCCTTGGCCTCCCAAAATGCTGGGATTACAGGTGTGAGCCACTGTGCCCGGCAACAATATTAATCTATTAATAAGGTCAGAACCTTAGCGGCCTAATCAACTCTTAAAGGTCCCACTCTTAATGCTGTTGCAATGGTGATTAACTCTTCAACACATACTTTTTGGGGGACACATTCAAACCACAGTACCCAGTATAGAGTCATTTTGAGGATAAATGTTGAACTATATCCATGTAGTTATAAATAGTGTAAATACAAGCAATCATGTCATGTAGGACAGCTGTATCAGCCAGAGATCTCCAGGAAAAAAAAAAAAAAAAAAAAACAGAACAAAAGATTTATTAAAACTGCCTCAGGTGATTACATGATTACGGTGATTCAGCCAAAATCCAATGATCTAGTAACAGGGTTTTCCATATTCAAAAAGATGGACACAGGAGAGAAGACAGTGAAAATTTGTCTCTCATCCAGCATTTTGTACTAACAGAACAGTCCACAGATTGAATGATGCCACCCACATTGAGAAGGCTGATTTTTAGTAAGTGTGCTCATTCAGATACTGCTCTCTTGAAGAAACACCCTCACTGACACATCCAGAAATTATGTTTTACATCCCTTAGCGCAGTTAAGTAGACACATAAAATAAACAATAACAAATAACAACGCCATGCCTTGTAAATTTGGCACCTATATGAATCTCCTTAAATCATGCTTCATCTCCAAATAAAGACAATAAATGGCAAGGTAATAATCTCATATAATATGATACAACTATCCTGTGTACAACTAAAAATGCACTAATCCCTACCAAGAAAGGGGAAGAAAAGTCCTTGAGTGATGTTTACTCTTATAATATCCCATAACTTCAATAACATGATGTAAAATAAGCAACACTTATAAAGGGATAATAAAGTCAATACATCTTAGGTTATATGATAAGGCAATAAGATAGGAGAGTAAACAAAGATACTTGCTTGGTATATGCATATGTACACACATGAGGGTAAACAACATAGGCACAAAATACTCATGACAATTATAGTCTTCGTTTCTGTAGCTGATCATATGGTTGTTACTAGAATATATAATCACCTCCTTCTTCTATACATTCTACATTCACTTTGCCTTCAGCAAGAAGCTCAGCTGATCATGGTTTCTTACTTGATGTAGTTGCACAAACTTTTATACCTGAAGGGTTATGGCTGTTTGTAGTCCTGCCTGAATTAGGTTGCAGTTTTCCATTGGTCTTAATTACTGGAAATGGTAACACTAAGAGAAGCCTTGAGTAACCTCCTATATTTCAGAAATACTTTCTTTAATTCCATTATATAATAGTAGTCCAACTTCTCCCTAGTGTTGAAAACCAATAATCCCAACCAACACTGTAACTGCCTTCTTGGTCTATAGACTCAGAGCATAAGAAGCCCAAAGTAGCTGAGTGACAGTCTTAACTCTAAATTCAATGGAATCATTGTGTCTACTGGTAGAAACATTCCTTCCTCTTGGACTAAGACTTTTTAGGTTGGCAGAGCATAAAGTCAGGAATAAGAAGCAAAATATTTGTTAGTGAGTCAGTAGGGGAAACGATGAATAGTGACACTCCCATTTCTACCCATTTATTTCAGAACCTATGAATCCTGGCTGTTGGAGAACCAGTATCACATACTGTGCACTGATTCACAACATACACAGCCTTTTGGAGAACCCTACCCTAGCTCACAATGTATTGCTACCTGGTTGGTGCTACAAATGAGTCTTCAAAAAGCCATTCCACTATTCTAGTAATCCATCTGCTTTGGGAGGGGAGCAGGGGAGAACAGGGTAATACCAGTGAATCTTGAGTATGTGCCCATTGTCTGCATTTCTTTGGCTGTGAAACAATATCCTTCCTTTACATTAAACCAAGGTAGATTGGGCATTTCCAATTTGCTCATGTTAGGCCATATTTTGACTCTTCCATGTAACAGTTTCATTTCTATGCTCCATTGCATAATTTAAATTTCATTCAACATTTTTCTCTTAAAGCACTAAGTGGAGATTTGGTGTTATTTTACTTTAATAAAACTGACATTATTTTATTTACTGTGAATGTTGAAACCTGGTATTTCATGTAAATTGTAGGCACTTTCCATAAAGAATATTTTCTACTATGAAGACATACCCAAGACTGGGTAATTTATAAAAGAAAGAGGTTTAAATAACTCACAGTTCAGCATGGCAGGGGAGGCCTCAGGAAACTTACAGCCATGGCAGAAGGGGAAGCCAGCATGTCCTTCTTCACCTGGAAGCAGGGAGAAGAAGAATGATAACTGAGCCAGTGGGGAAGTTCCTTATAAAAACTATCAGATCTCGTGAGAACTTATTTACTATCATGGGAAGAGCAAGGGGGAAACTGCTCCCATGATTCAATTATCTCCCACTAGGTCCTTCCAGCAACACATGGGGCTTGTGTGAACTACAATTCAAGATGAAATTTGGGTAGGGACACAGACAAACCATATTACTTAGTAAATAAGTTTTCTAAAATGTTAGATAAAATATTTAAAAACTTTAAAAAGTAAATACAGTTATCTAACACATGTAACATTGCAATGTATTATACATGTAATATACATGTTTACTCTTTAAACATAAAATTAAATGTCTTATTTTAAAATGTTAGACACATGAATTATTTTACCAAAATATCCAAATCTAATATGCTAGAATTGATAATTTGGTAAGACTATGATATATTTTTTAATATAATTTCAACTGGTAATTTACGTTTGGGTGTTACATTTTTAAAATTTAAAATGTGTTTTCCAGTTTATGTCTAGTACATGTGAAGAATTTTTTGGTTTTTAAAATGTTTACTAACATTTAGTTGACATATAATAAAATTTATCTATTTAAAATGTACAATTTAATGTATTCTAATAGCTGTCTCCACAGTCAATTGTAAAATTTCCTGAAAAATAAATAGCAATTAGCTGCCCCTTTTTACTTACTACCACCACTGTCATCCCTGGCTCTATATAACTACTAATTTACTTTCTGTATGTATATATTATCTTATTCTGGACATTTCATGCATGTTGAATCATGTAATATGCATTTTTCTGTGAATTTCATTTTTACTTAAAGTGTTAAAGGTTCATTTCTGTATTAACATTAATCAGAACTTCATTTCTCTTTAGGGACACATAGTATTGCATTGTATTGATATGCCACATTTTATTCATTCTCCTGTTGATGAAAATGTGGGTCATTTTTACATTCTGGATATTATTAATAATGGCTATTCACATAAGTTTACAAATTTTGTGTGGCTATTTGTCTCCTTTTTTAAAAAAGGAAATTTCCACTTTAATTTAGATACAGAGGTACCTGTGTAGGACAGTTAGTTACATGGGTATATTGGACCCAGCTGGTGATCATAGAACCCAACAGGTCTTTTTCAACCCATAACCCATCCCCACTATATTATTTGATAGTGGCTATTGCTTCCACATTTATGTTCCATGTTTCTGCTAAACAAATATGCTCAATGTTTAGCTCTGACTTATAAGCAAGAATATGCTGAATATTCTTTTCCTGTTCTTGTATTAATTTGCTTAAATAATGGCCTCGAGATCCATTCATATTGCTGCATATGTTATTATTTTGTTGTTGCAAATGTAATTATTTCATTATTTTGTTCCTTTTGATGGTTGCATACTGTTCCATGGTATACATGTATGATTTTCTTTATCCAACACACTACTGATGGACATCTAGGTTTAATGTATATCTTTAATATTGTGAATCATGTAGTATTGAACATGCACGTGCAAGTGTCATTTTAGTAAAATAATCTATATTCCTTTGGGTATGGACCCAGTTATAGGATTTTGTGGTCAAATTATAGTTTTAAGTCCTTTGAGAAATCTCCAAACTGCTTTCCACAGTGTCTGAACTAATTTACATTCCCACCAACAGTGTATGAGCATTTCCTTTTCTTTGTAGCCTCACCAGTATCTATTTTTTGAGTTTTTAATATCCCTTCTGACTTCTGTGAGATGGTGTCTTACTGTGGTTTGAATTTGCATTTCTCTGATGACTAGTGATGATGAACACTTTTTCATAAGTTTATTGGCTATATGTACTTCTTCTTCTGAAAAATGTCTGTTCATGTTTTTTGCCCACTTTTCAATGGGTTTATAATTTGCTGGCCGATTAGTTTAAGTTCCCTGTAAATTCTGGATATTAGGCCTTTGTTGGATACATAGCTTGCCAACATTTTTTTTTCCATTCTGTAACTTATCTGTTTACTTTATTGATTCGTTGTTGTTGTTTTGGCTAAGCATAAGTACTTTAGATTAAATTAGAACTAACCTATCAATTTTTGTTTTTGTTGCAATTGCTTTTGATGACTTGGTCATAAAATATTTGCCAGAGCGGGTTTCAGAAGGGTAATTCCTAGGTTTTCCTCTAGAACTTTTGCAGTTTTATATCATACATTTAAATCTTTTCTCTGCATTAAGTTAATTTTTCTATACAGTGAAAAATAGAGATCCAGTTTCCTTCCTCTGCATGTGGCTAACCAGCTGTCCCAGAACTATTAATATATTTAATAGGAAGTCCTTTTCCCATTACTTATTTTCATCAGTCTTATGGAGTATCAGATGGTTATATTTGTGAGGCTTTATTTCTTAGTTTTCTAATCTGTTCCATTGGTCTACATGTCTGTTTTTGTACCAGTACTCTGCTGTTTTGATTACTATTGCCTTGGTGTAGTTTGAAATCAGGTAATATGATTCCACAGACTTATTCTTTTTACATAGAATTATTTTGGTTATTTGTGCTCTTTTTTTTTTGTTCTGTGTGAATTTTAAGAACTCCGGTGCAATAAAAATATAAATCAACATTAAGAAGATCTCTAAAACTTACACAAATATAATTAAACAACTTGCTTCTGAATAACTCTTGGGTGACCATTGAAATTTAGGCAGAAATCAAAACAGTACTTTAAATTAACTAAAATAGTGATTCAACTTCCCAAAACCTCTAGGCTACAATCAGCAAATTAAGAGGAAATCTATAGCCTAAATACCTTCATCAGGAAGTTAGAAAGATCTCAGATTAATAATGTAACTTCCCACCTAGAGGAACTAGAAAAAAAAGAACAAACCAACCCCAAAGCTAGAAGAAAGAAAATAACTAAAATTACAGAAGAAAATAAAACTGAGATGCAAAAACCTATAAAAAATCAATAAAACCAAGAGATTGTTCTTTGAAAACATAAGATTGATAAACTAAGAAATAAAGAGAATATCCAAATAAGTGCAATGAGAAAAAACAAAAATGACATTACAACTGATCCCACTGAAATAAAAATTATCCTCAGAGAATGCTATGAACTCTATATACATGAATTAGAAAATATAAAGGAATGAATGTATTCCTGGAAAACACGATCTGCCAAGATTGAATCAGGAAGAGATTGAAACCATAAATAGACCAATATCAAGCTCTGAAATATAATCAGTATTAAACAGTCCATCAACTAAGAAAAGTCACGGAACAGACAGATGCTACCAGATATCATAATCTTACTGAAACTACATCAAAAACTCAATGAGAAGGGACTCCTCCCTAACTCATTCTATGAAGCCAACATCAGCCTAATACCAAAATCTGAAAGAAACACAACAGAAAAAGAAAACTTCAGGCCAATATCCCTGATGAACAGAGATGCAAAAATCCTCAACAAAATACTATCAAATCAAATCCAGCAGCACATCAAACAGGAAATTTACCATACCAAGTAGGCTTTTTTCCTAAAATGAAAGGTGGGTTTAACACTTACAAATCAATAAATGTGATTCACCACAGAAACAAAATTAAAAGCAAAAACCATATGATCATCTGAATAGATGGAGAAAAATCTTTTGATAAAATGCAAAAATCCCTTCATGATAATAACCCTTAGCAGTCTAGGTATCGAAGAAACATACCTGAATATAATAAAAGCCATCTGTGAAAAACCCATAGCCAACATTATACTGAGCAGGTGAAAGCTGAAAGTATTTGCTTTGAGAACTGGAAAAAGGCAAGAATGCCCACTTTCACCATTTCTATTGAATATAGTACTGGAAGTTCTAACCAGAGCATCCTCCCAGAGAAAGAAATAATAGGTATTCAAATAAGAAGAGGAGAAAAACTCTGTCCCTTTGCTGATGATATGATTCTGTACTTAGAATACCTTAAAGACACCACCAAAAGGCTTCTAGAACTGATGAATAATTTTAGCTATGTTTCATAATACAAAATCAATGAACAAAATCAGTAAGCAGTTCCACTGTAGGGGATAAAAGATTATAAGGTAATCATTTGGCAGTAATGCTTGGGCAGGTGCTACTCTCTTATATAATTTGCCACAGGTTTTCTCGAGAATGCTTGAGCACAGGAGTTCAGATGAAGATTTGGGATTGAAAGAATTCTGAGGCTCTACTCTCCCTAGGAAATGAAGAAAGCCCTATCAATCCTTGAAGCTCTCCCAAATTTAAATGGCTAAAGGACAATTGCTCTAAGGATCTTCAATCCATAAACTGATTTTATCAACTTGGGAAGTATTCATATCATAGTAATATAATTCAATTAATTTTGTAATAAAAAATGTACTTTAAAGAAATCGATAAGAGACGTTGGAAATCTTCTGAATGACTATAGAAAAATACTGTCTGTCATATACAGTGTGAAACTGGCATAAACATACATCATGTGTTTATCATTGTAAAAACCATTATTTTTAGTCGTATTAATCACATCTTCAAATTGGAGAACCAAGTTGCTTTACACAATGGCAGACATTTTGCTCTTCTAAAAATTTGGTTTGAATTAATTTATGGATAGAAATATTTTTATATTTTCTCTCCTTAAAAATTTTGGATATACCAAAATATTTCTTGTAACAAATAATGAAGAAAGTCAACCAATTATTTAATAATACAGATAGCATCACAGTCTGTACCATTTTCAGCTGTAAAAAATATTTGTACTTTGTATAAATTGTCTAGTATTGAAATAAGCAAAGTTTTCAAAAAATAAGGTACATTCTAATTTTATCAGACCTGTAAAATTAGTAATGTTTGAGGAAATTTTCATGCCTATGTCTTTTGAAAATAATTTATAAGTAGCATATAAACCCTCCTTGAATACTTTTGTAGAACTATTTAAACATCAATAATTATATAATTAAGGCAATGATTTTGTGAAAATAATTGTAACATATAATTTGATATAAAAGTTATAAGAATA